TTAAAAATAGAAACAAATTATAACCCATTCAAAAGATAACTATACATGTCAGTGAATCGCCAAAAATATTCCCCCAACATGCCAATTCACACTCAAAATAGCAGTCATAAAAACAGACAGAAATTTTAGATGATTAAAATTAAGTACTTCTGCTGAGTTTTGCCAAAATTAAGGACTTTTAAGGACCAAAAATTGATTCAAAAAAATCTAAGGAATTTTAAGGACCGTATGAACCATGTATTTAAAAAGAACTTCGAATAGAATATAAAGGCATGTTCTGATGCTAACAAAACCAATTACAGTTCTTGTTGACGTAATTAAACAAGAACAATCAAATTCAAACTATAAATGAGGACTAGTGGTCAAAGACTATACAATTTGATTTTAATTTAAGCTGAGTCAGTAACTTTATCATCATAATAAATTCAAATATCAGTATCATAAATGCAAAGGTGAATAATTACAAATTATCAGAGCTGATAGGAACAAATACAGCGAGCAAGCAGAAATCAGAAACATACTCTGTCTTACACTCCAAAAACCTCAGTTTAAAAAGTGTCTAAGTGATTTGCATTTTGGTGAGGAAATAGAAATGGGAAATTATAGTAAAGGTTGAAATTATAAACAATTGGGTAATTACATAATAAAACTGTCATATTTGAAAATATTTTCTTTCCAACACGTTTCCTTTTCATTTTAGAATTTTTGGATTTAATTAAAGATTTATGTTATTCTAAAAAAATTAAATTCATTTAGAACACATAGAAAAAGCTGATAACTTTATTTCTTTAGTATTATGAACATTCAGAAGAAATATGAAACATATATGGTAAGGGGTGGTTACAGAGCTGGTGTGGCAGATTTTTTAGAATTTAGAGACAGCAAAAAAATTTAGAAATGGGAAAACTTTTAAAATTTAGAGCAGGCATTGGAAGCAGAATTTTGGATCTGCAGAGATTGCATCAGGTGGAAAATACCTAGCTCCAGCCGTGTTTATGATGCATTAAGACATATTAAATGAATCTTTTAAATTGTCAGTTTTCGATTTCTTTATTAATAAAAACATTCCTTACATTGCATTTATTAATAAAAACATGAACAGGCATTATAACAGGTTCATGTGATAAGTTTAGAAGTATTTTTAACATTTTCCATGCTTGTGCCTAGTGAAAAGTAGAGAAAATAAAGGGAAGATAAACATGTTAAGAAAAAAAGATTCTAGTATCAGAAGTAAAACATTCAAATATTATGTTTTCATTGTTCTTCCAGACATTCTCCAAAAAGTGAGAAATTCATCACAAACTTTCTGTAAAATATATCCATTATGTGTTATTACCATGGAGACTTTTTCTGGAATCTTCTATAATCATGCATCTAAACTTTCCAAGCTACAGTGTCTAAAATCCTAAAGAAAAATTATCCCTACCAATTCTGTAACAGCAAAAGGCCAGAAATATTTTGGGGAAAAAATGGGGAGAAAGTATAAAATTAATTTTATACAGAAAAATGATGCATATTCTGAGAATTCTGAATATTATGAGACAATTACATGGGGAAAAACTCTTACTATGAAAAAATTAAAAGGAAAATATTTTTAATTAATTACATAGCTATTTTGCTTTTGCTAAGAACTATTTCATAAATTGTGCTTTATAGCATTATAACCTTGTTTATTTTTCAGATTCAAAATATTACATAATAAACAACCAAAATGGAACTTTATGACAGCGAAAAATAAAAATGTTTTATTTTAATGTTATTTTTTAAATATAATTTCAATATATTACCATTATTTTAATGAAATTAATCAATGTTACAATGTTTTAAAAAAATCATCGAAAAATTCCCAGATTTCGAAATTAAAATTTTTTTATAGAAACTGATCTTAAAATCCCCAAAATGTTGATAAGTCGCTAAATTTGGAACCGTTCAATCAAAGAAATCACACCCCTAAATGCGAAAAGTTGTTTAAGAGCTCTTCATTAAGAAAAAATGAAATGATTTCGAAATGCTTATGTTTCACTTTTTGCTCAGAAAATTGAATATCCCACCATTTATATTAGAAATAGAAACAAATTATGACTCGTGAACCTATTCAAAAGATAACCATATTTGTCAGTGAATCGCCAAAAATATTCCTCAAAAATGCTAATTCACACTCAAAATGGCAGTCTTGAAAACAGAAATTTTAGATAATTAAAATTAAGGACCTTCTGCTGATTTTAGCCGAAATTAAGGACCAAAAATTAATTCCGAAAAACCTAAGGTCTCTTAAGGACCACATACAAACCCTGAAATAAAAGGTTTTAAAGGCAAATAAAAATATATTTACAGCTGCTGCTTAAGGAATAGGTTAGTTTAATTAAGTATAGCGAAATGCATGAATTATTTATTATTCGTGTTATAGCACTGCACATAATACAAATTATTATGTGCAGTGTACCTTTGTAGATATTATGGTCTAATCTCATTTAGGCAAAATGATTTTTCATTTCACTAGGTTACTGAGTATGCCATATATTCCACTATCACCAATTCTCCAATATATGGTTTGCCTCAAAAGTTTTCTACATTATTAAAGTATTAGTCAGCTAGTTTCTATATACTGGGGAGGCATGTAAAAGCTATCTACTTTAGGAACGAACCTTCTAACAGGAAATGGCTTGGATTCCCACACGAAAAAGGCACATATAACCTTTCTGGTTATGTGCCATTATCTCAACTACCACCACCACCCACACGAAAAAATAAAATAAACCCATGCAGCTAGCTTGTTTGCCAGTTCAAACTACCAGTGTCAGCGATCTTAACTTTGGTGTACTAGAATATACTTTTTACGAGAGTTTTTATTCCTGTTACCCATAAGGAAAACATTTATTTGGAAAACCTGATCTGCTACTATTAAGTGATAAAAAAAAAAAAAAAAAAAAAAAAAAATCTTGCATCACATATGTAACAGCCAACCGAAGTTCTTGGAAGTATATATATATATATACATCCATATCAAAAGTCAGAATACTTTAAATATTCCAGAAATTTTAATCCGAGTTTCACTGGATTACCATACATTAATAAACAAAATATTCCTTGTATATTTATTAATTAAAAAATATTAAATTTATTAATAAAATATTCCTTGTAATATTTATTAATTTTTTATTTCATTTAAGAAAGGGTAATAATTATGGATAATTAAATAACCAACAATTGCAACTATAAATACTTAGTACCGGTTTGCAACATGATACAGAATTACAAAAAGTAGGATTAAAAAATAATAGGTAGAAATTACTCGTAAGTTTTGCATTTTATAATATATTTAAGAAACCACTGTAATTCTTCAAAACCAAATTTGGAGCATTATTAATTATTCTTTCCTCAATAAACGTGAACATTCAAGAAACACATGGCTTTTGAAACAATTTTCCGCTCAAAACAACAAACAGTCGCCGTTGCCACTGGAGGGAATATTTTTGTTTTTACTAATTATGAAGGGCCATTTAATAAATGCGAAAGAACCATACAGAATTAATCTTAAAATTAATTAAAATTTAACTCTGGATTGAGGTTGATTTCATAAGAATTAATTCTCACCATATTCCGGCAGAATATCACACATATCGCTCACCTCCAAGAAACCGCCTAGACATAATAGTCTGACCAAGAGAATTTATTTGTGTAGAAGGACATGGTGACAATGACACATTAATGTTTTAAACAAACAAGCAGAACACATGGCTTGTTACCGGGGTTTGAAAGTAAGGAATTTTTGCAGTCAGAAACTTTCTTATATTATTATTTTGAATTTGGTCTGTATAATTTTTCACTGTATTGAAATGAATTTCTATTTTTTTAAATAGGCCAAAACAGAAGTATGAATTTTGCACATATTAATAGATCTTATGAAATAACTCATTTTAAATAAGTGTATGTGATAAAGTGTTGGTTTTTAAGATTGGCATATATATAACATTCTCAAAAGAGTCATCCATTTCTAACAAAAATACATTATGGCAATATGCAAAAAGAAAACTTTATTAAAGAAAATCAGACATAAGAAATCTTACCACATTCTACCAAACCTTAATAATGAAACTCTCTCTCTTCCAGATACATTTTTAACTCATTCTTTTTACAATTTTATTCCAAAATTCGAAATTTCGAAATTCCAAAATATTAAAACTTAAAATTATGCTTTATAAACAAATACTATCATAAAGTGCACAGATCATATTAAAAAAAATTAATAATGTTGGCTGAAATTAATATTTGTTGAGAAAGATTTGAAACTCATGCTTGAATTGCAGTGATATAAATTAGGCAATTTGAATATTTATATTTATGTGAATTGAATATTTATGTGTGACTAAATTTATTTATCAAACTAATTTCTCGAAGGATTTCTGTTTTCTGCATATCAAGTATATGTAGTTTGATAGGGAAAAGTAATTTATTTTTGCCCCCCCTTTTTTTTTAACGTTGAATCATGCAAAGAAATAATAAAATTCCGTGATTATTAATTAGATATACTGTGATGGTATTGATTATATTAATTTATTGAATTTCTGTGAGGCTCATGTCTATTCAAAGCCAACCTGTATCCTAGTGGTTAAAGGTATAGAATTTTGGTAGTTTCTTTTGAATTTTACACTGGGATGCAGCATGACAGTTGTATTTCCTCATGTGCAACATTAATTTATTGAAACCTCCATCTATTATTTTTCTTTGGTATGGCGGAAAGAAACAATGAATGCAGGAAAGGTGTTAAATTAAGAATACACATACTAAATACTATATTTATACTATATACATATACAGTCAAAAGTCATTAATTCGGACACCCATAATCCGGACCTCAAAGCTACAAACTTTCTGCGCATGCGTCGCATTGACCTTTACGGCTGCGAATATGCGTGCGTGTGCGCAAAATGCATTTACGAATGCGTGTTTAATGTATAACGGACAGTATAAGCTAAGTTAAAATTATCTAATTTAGTTAATGTTGCAGATTGCGTTGTTCCTTAATCTTCAAATGGGATTCGGCTTATTATTTTTTGCAGACTGTTAGAGCAATTTTATAAAAGTAAGCTTGAACTTTCGATTATGTCAAATAGAATTTCTGATATGTATTTACTAATATGTGAAGGATCTACAAAGTGAAAGTATGTTTCAAAGTCCATTAAACAAAAAGTGGAATTGCTGCAAAGAATGGATAAAGGCATATCCTTTGTTTATATTTAACGCCGCGGCGCGCAATGAATGGAAGTTGATCTGTCAGCACTATCCTTATCTTCAGGGCAGATGTTTTTATTTTATTTGGCTTATAATTCCTTACTAAATGTAGTATTGTATCTCGATGTACTCCGTCTTTGATATGATTTAAATCAAATTCCTCGTCATTATAATTCGCTTCCGATAGCGAAGAAAGTGGCAGAGGTTATTGAAAACGAAAAAATTTCAATTGACAAATTAGTCGGTATTCTCGACACAGCAATTATAGGACTTGAACAGCGGAACTTTGTAACTGAACAAGAAATTATGTCTGTTTATAGAATTATGATCTTTACAATATGGTAACTGGTAGTTTGGCGACATTTTGGAGGCGATAAAGGTTACTACCTGGCACTTTGGTAATAATGTGAGCAGTACTCAGTTCCGATTACGCATTATTTTGTGTGAGGGAAATGAGAGATCATGGGATATGTCATGTGATATTAATGGACGAATTACGGTTCTTTAATCGGAAAAGGGGGGAAATCGGGGAAAAAATCTGGAAATTTTGTATTTCGCTTTATTCTGTGTTGTGTGAAACAGTGTTTGTGAATTTTTGGATCCCATGGCCGTAACTAAAGTGAATTCGAAATGGGTATTTAGTGGGATTGAAAGGGGTAGTAATAAGTGTTTCTTTAAGGTTGTGCGTGATAGAAGTAAAGATGTTTTATTAAGTTATTTATTTTACCTGGTACCTTGCTGTGAGCTATAAGTATGATTTTAAAGATCCTGAAACAGAAATAAGAAAAAGCTTATAGTAATCAAGATTAGGTAAGTTAGTAGTATTTTTAATTATTTGAGGATTATTTTTATGCATTGTTCTAAATGTAAGTGGAAGTAAAGTAATTTGGTATTATTGGGAAAATTGTTATTAGCAATGATTTAGTTTTAAAGTAATTAGGATTGTAAGCTAATTTTTATTAATTTAATGTATGTGCTTATTTATATTTTAAATAGTGTTTTTGAATTTAATTATATTTTAATTAAATGTTATTTTGTGAATTTTATGTTTGTAGGAATTTGGTATACGTTTTAGTTGAAGTAAACGTGCATGGAAATAATTTAAATATTTGACACGAAGTATTTATGAGAAAAAAGCAGTGTACATGGATATAGTGAAGAGTGTGCGCAATGCCATTTTTGTGTAATTCTGGGATTTTTTTTAAGTAAAAATAAGTCGACGTGTACATGGTTTATGTGTATGTGTTATTTTAAAAAATGCGTAAGGAGTATGGTATTGTGCACTTTTTTGCAATTTTGCAGTGAATATTTGTCATGATTAAGCAGTTTTGTTAGATAAAATTTCTAGCATAAGTGTAATTCGGCTAGTAGATTGTTGGAAGAAGTGTTCAGTAGATGAAAAGAAAAGAAACATGTCTTTACTTCGTGAAGACAAAATGGCGGCGGGAAAAAAAAATAGAGGGTTGCTGTAGGAGAGTTGGTCGCCAAAAAATCGCCAAGTTACCATACTGTAAAGATCAACCAAATTTTGAAATTCATCTTACTTTGGTTTCATAATATAACTATAAAGATAAAAACATATAAAAAATCCATATTTCTGTTGTATATAATTATAAATAACAAAGATATTGAATTAAATTCATAAAAGTTATAAATACATCATTTATTTTGGACATAAAATTAACTTGCAAATAAAAATTTAAAAAAAAAAAAAAAAAAAAAAAAAAGCAAACATTTTTCTGAGTTCCACAATTAAAACATTCCCAAATTCCATTTTCCATGGCTGTAAACTGGCAAATATATCAATAACAGTCAAAGTATATTTTACTGTACCCCTTGGCAAAACTTGGCGATTTTTGGCGGTACATGGATACCGGGTTTGTGCAATTCTTTGACTTATTATTTTGGCTTGCATAACAGGGATTTTTCATGCCAAAATAACAAGACAAAGAATTGCAAAAACTCGGCACCCAAGTAGACATCGACCTATTTTCACTTTAAAAAAAAAAATCCCAGAATTGCACAAAAATGGCATTGTGCACTCCTTTTATCCATGTACACAACAACTTATTTTCACTTGAAAAAAATCCAAGAATTGCACAAACTAGTATTGTGCACTCCCTTCACTTTGTCTATGTACACATCGATGTATTTTCACTTAAAAAGTCAAAGGAGTGCCCAATTCTACAATACAGGCAAACAAAAAATACATAATCTCAATAAACTACATTTTAAACCAAACAATAAAATAACATAAAAAGGAAAAACATGTTATACATTTAAGCACTACAAAAAGCAAATATCCTCTTACCCTATTTAGAAGTTCCTTTGTCTTTAATCTGTGGCACACAAAATTCCTTAACAGCATCCAAAAACTTCCTAAAATTATCTGAATTCTAATCCGTATATCGGCATCGCCACATCTGAACCTTTCTTCCTACAAACCCATTCAAATAAATCTAAACGGTTTTTACATTCAACTAGTCGCATATCCTTCTTACATACAGGACACTTATAATGCCTACAAAGTAAACCTACATTACACACCAGTCAATAAACGCTCTTTTCCACTTTCGTTCCAAATCATACAGAAACTTCAAATTAATCTTACTACATTCAGCCATTCTACCGTCTAAACAATAAAACCAATACACACCACAAAAGTACTTACAAAACATCCCATGATTCAAAATTTCTCAGAATCATGCACCCGATTACATCACAATAGAGTTTCCATAAATGAAACAACAACTTCGCCATAATACAAGGGGTACCTTAAAGTGTACTCTAACCTCAATAACTTTGTCATTTGATTTTTCTTTGCTATAATGAATTTACATTAATGCCAAAGAATTTCTGCGCTCTTCCGTCATAATAACGCTAGTAATTTTCTAACTTTTTCAAAGCACTTGCAGAACGTTCACATTCGCAAGATGTTATTGGCAGTGTAGCTGCTATGTGCAAAAGTCACATGAGCATTTGGTAAAAATATTTTATTTGAAGCTTTTAAAGTCAAAACTGGTGTATCTGGAAGCTTTGCTTTGGGAATAGGCATAAAATGCCATCGCCAACATTTTGTCGCTTCTTTTAGAAGTTCCGATGAGGGTAAATCCTCTTTATATATCATCTTTAACTCATTTACAGCAATTTCATTTACATGATCAGCACAAACTGATAGTTGTATGCAAAACTGGGATGATGCAGTCTTTTCCAAATTTGAAATTGCGGATTTAAAAGGAAAATGAGATTGTCAAGTAAAGGGATTGCTAAAATAGTTTTGTATTAATTAAACACAGTATCCCAGTGAGCATTATTTTGATAGACTTGCTTTCGAATTATACATGGCATTTTAAGCTCTACATCTAATTTTTTACAAATTTGCCTTTCATGATCAAATGTTTCACCATTTCAAAACTCTTTCCTACATTTTCACACTCAGAAATATGAAACTAAATTATTTCCTGGACCATGTTATAGGCTTCCACGATATCAAGAGGTCATCCCTAAAGTTTAACTGTAATTCCTT